GAATCATTGGCTTAAAAGATTTGTTCCTGTCACTGGAATCAACACTCTTGATTTCGGTTCCGTTTAATTAACCTGATAGTCCCTTTTGTTTGTAGAGTTTAAATTATTAGTATAAGGGACTTTTGGTGACTGAAGTTAGAAGTATAAAACGATTCAGCAACTTAAAGTTTAACAACTCCCTTCGAGACCTAAATGTTTTGAGTTCAATTACTTTTTGGGTCGTAGACGCTCACTGCTAAGAGATGTCACATGTTCAGTGATTCCTAGTCCTCAATCTATTATATAATAAACATTAGAAAAATGACTGTCAAGACGCGTAATTTTCAGTTTACAGTGTTGTCACTAAAATATTAGTTTTCTCCGGTGTAAGGTAATGTGTGCATAGCGCTATAAGAGTTTCATAAGTTATAATTCACCTATTTCTAATGATTTCCCTGTCAATATTCTATGATAGAGCTATCTTCAAATATTTAAAAACATGATTAATCTATTTATACAGAACTATATATAAATGTCCTGTAATTTATCGGAATTAAAATGTGACAGATATTATCTATCAATTAAACAGTATATCTATATTACATACAGCTATTCTGAATAACTTGTAACATTACAGCTACCTCGAGGCTATCTACGTAAGGCACACATGTACGAACAAAGACAAATCAAAATTTATTCCTGAATATCAACAACCAAATGACTTAAACTCATACTAATAATGATATGAACATCATACTCGTTGAACAAGACTGTGATAATCAGGATTGAGTTGATCAATAGACAGTAAGCTATTCTTTAAAAAATTGGTACTGAGTTACAGTTTCATGGGGAACATCAACAGTGAGATGCAGGTGAATTTCCTTGATGACTTAGTTCCAATTAGAATGAAAAATCCGTTCTGGGCTTTACTGCTAGTTACAAACCATTTATTCTGAACATGTACCTTACAGTTCAAAAATATTCTGGATGTGATCAAATGTACAACTGAAAAATAATTCGGTGAAACTATGAATGTGACCAATCAGTTCAATGTATCAATGAATTATGGTAAAATGTGTATGTAGTTATTTGTTGTATTCTATATTCATATTAAAGGTTGACCATAACACTTAGTAAAAGTCATTAAAACAAAAGATAACAAGAGCATCTTTTGTATTCAAAAAATATTTACAGTTGTTTAACCTTCCTATGATAAAGTTAGACTTCGATATCCCCATACGAACTGACGACCGTAATTAGAAAGAAATAATAAGCAACTGTCAAAGTTACTAACAATATACCTAATTATTAAACATCTAATAACTCTATAAAACTTATATTTATAGTTACGAAGATGGGAAGAAATATCTTTCAGCTTATAGTGGCTTTAATTTTAATGATAGATCTTGACAATTACTAATGTGCATTGTTTTCAACAAACTCAACTATTCATTTTTATTCGTTGTTTGAATATTATCATTGTTGTTTACGACTACAATTGATCAGTATCTTTTGGTATGTATGGATCCTGTGAGGATTGTTTCGATACCACCATTTATTCAGAAGAATAATATGCTGAGTTTGTTGGTGGCCAGTAGTGAGAACCAGAACACGCGCTTCCTCCTACTCTGAACTTTTCAGTTGGATTTATCTGCATCAGAGAGTTGATGTTTACATCGAAACTTAATAACAAGATGGAAGCAAGCTGCACAGAGTGCATGTGTGCCTAAAGAGAATAGTCAGTTGCAATCCTAAACATCAATGGGAAAATTCAAACAACCAATGCACATTGCACAAATCAGAGGCAATCTAGACTCAATAGCTATGTAGATAACACAATAGCGTTTGAAGCTAACAGTACCGAGTTTGAGTTCAGTAGTAAAGAATAACTTCAGGATCTAGGTACATTCAGTTGATAAGTTCAAATAGGATGAAATGCGTGTCCTTGAATTGACTGTTAGCCACCACTTAACTCTGCTTACAACTCAACTATAGTTCATTTTGATTTTATTCTTCTTAAAACAACAACAATTTCAGGAAATATCATGTGCTGTAAAAACAAACTATTGTTGAGGAATATTTATGAATCTCTGACAATAAAACGAACTAGAAAAACCACTTCCCCTTAAAAGTTTTCCATCTAATCAAACTAACGGTATAAAAAGTATTTTTACAATATACATTATTTTCATTTCTTTAATTGACAACCATTTCAAACAGCGAATGGACAATGATAAAATCATATTACAAGTTTAAACAATTCATTTTGATTAAATAAAACTCAGATATATAAACATTAAAATAGATATTATAAGAAAAGATGGATAATGGTTAGCAGTGGAATCCTGGACGCGCGTTTCGTCCCATCTGGGACTCGTCAGTTGGATGTACCTGCATCTCGTAGTTGATGTTCACTCTGGGACTCCAACCCAATATCTTTCACTTCAAACTCCATGACGTTATCCACTTATCTAGTAAGTTTTATAATGCTTATGAATTCAGATAATATCGAGACAATATGCACATATACCAGTAAGAGACTGATCAATTGCAGTAACTAAACATAAATAGTAAGATTCAATTCAACAATACCAAGTGAATTAAAATAGACAATATACGCCCACTCTCATTTGATTTAGCAATAAATTGTAAGCATACTGCATTGATTATTAATTAATCAAATTTCCCATGTAAATTCCCTTATTAGCTTAATTAAATAATCCATGTATTTTGCCAAATCATCCATCAGTAAATCAATCGACAAAATAAATTCTATTACTTATATGGGTTTATGTAATGCGATAATTCGGTTTATGCTACTAGACTATTATGAAATTGGCTAAAAAGGTGGTTCAAAATTATGTTCTCACTTATTATAATCCATGATTGTTTTTTTCTTCTAATTTATAGTTGTATTTATTATTTTTTCTGTTTACCCTTAGGATAACAAGTAGGATGGTTGATGGATGTTTTATTCAATATTACGTAATTTTTAAACAGTTGAGATCATGAGTCAATTGAAGCTAGAACACCATGGAAAATCCGCTAGCAGTGGACGGCCGTTTCATCCTGTTGTGGGACTCCTCAGCAGTGCGCACCCACGACCCCGCCCTGGGGGATTAGAACCCAGGACCTATCGGTCTCACGCCAGGCGCTTGATCAACTAGACCACTGAGCCGGCATCCAACGGTATTAATGTCTAACTTCAACTAATTCACGAAATTGAGCGATACATCCACCATTGCCATCAGTGAGTTACTACCTCACAACTGACCCGGTTGAATTCCGCTGGTCACTTCTTCTCACGAGAACTCCAGGATATATATCTTGAAGCCAGTCACTAGTGATACTAATCAACCATGATCTCAACTGTTTAAAAATTACTACAATCTTCACAAAACCCCTTCTAATATTACGTAAGTTTAAGGCAATTAGTCCCTTTGATAAATTTTGATAATGTAATAAGAAAACGAAGATTATGAGAACAATGTGATGATATATTAGAGCAATACATTTCGAACAATCTGATCACAGACATAATGTACTTGGTAAGAACATTTATATATAAAAATAAATGGTGAACTAGACTGGAAATGGGATAAGAAGAGACAAGGATAATAATAAGAGTAATAATAATAATAATAATAATAATAATGTGAACACAGTTTGAAACCTAATCACTCTGGATATCCTTGTCTCCTCTTAGCCTACATTTCTAGTCTAGTTCACCATATATTTTTATATATAAATGTTCAGAACAAGTATGTAATGTGTGATCAGATTGTTCGAAATGTATTGCGCAAATATACCGTCATATTGTTCTGATAATCTTCATCTTATTACATTATCGAAATTACGTAAGTAATTAATATTGTTAAAAGTTGCAACATAATCATAAAAACAAAAATATACACGAAATTTCCTTTATAGTAAAGTTTGGTGTATTGAAAGAGTTTTGAAACTATTACAGTGTCTTGAAATATTAACTATAAGTAGTTATCATAAAAAGCCGTAGTTTAAAAGCTTAGAAAGCTCAACATCAAGTTATTTAAATCGTTTTTCATCGAAATAACTTTGATTTATGCGTCGACAAGTGAAAGACTATCCGGATTAAAACCTAACATAACATAACATCCTAGTTCAGAATTAAAGCATGGGTTGTTCAATATTCTGGTGTTTATTTTGATATTGTAAGGCAAAATGAATGGTGTCCAGTAGTTAATTTCAAGACGCACATTTCATTATATTTGGGACTCGTCATCTGGATATATCTACATTCTAGAGCTGATGTTCACTCCGAAACTCGTACCCTGTATCGTTTGTTTCAAATGCTATCACGTTATCCACTTACCTACTGAGTCAAAAATACCCACTAGCTTGTGTAATGTGTTGAAGTATTAATTCATTTTTAAGTTGTTTGTTCGAATCTTCTCATTGATGTTTAGAATTGTAATTGATCAATCTCTTATTGGGATATATGCATCTTATTGCTTCAAAAAGATTCATCTATTTTCCATTAAACTATTCATTCTACATAAATACTTGTTAGTTTAACTGATATAACTTAGTGAAGTCTTCATTTTTGTTCATCAACCTAATTGATACATTTTAATGAAATACGTAGAAAATGATGGGTATTAAATGTAAAGAAGATAAGGTCAGAATGACTAGAAATATTAGGAATATGAAGACATGAACTGTAACTCTCTCTCTCTCAGAAGGGGTTTGTGGAGTTTTTAGAAATTTCATAGATTGAAATCATGAGTCAACTAAAGCTAGACCATCATGGAAAACCTGGAAGCACTGGACGGCTCTTTCGTCCTAGTATAGGACTCCTCAGCAGTGCACATCCACCATCCCGCACCCGGAGAAATTCGAACCCAGGACCTATATTTCTAAAAACTCCACAAACCCCTTCTGATATATATATATATATATATATATATCACAGTTATCAGAAACATTCATAAATAATTCATTGTTGTTTTGTTAATTCAATAATGAATATATAATGAACGTACCTTGCACGTAATGCTAATTGTCTATCACTTGGACAAATAAATGTTTCCATTGTAATCAATGATAAGTAAATATTGAATATCACTTTTATTCAATTACATTACTTTCTTTTTTGTTTTCTATTATCAGTATCTTTGTGATTTTAGTTGATACTCTATTAGGGGAAAAAAACAACAAAAGAAAAACAGGAAATAATAATGAATAAACAAAACAAATAAACAAACAAACAAAGTGGGTGTTAAATAATTACGGAAATGATTTGTAATTTAGAAAATTTAACATACTAAACAAAATGTTTGTTGGCAGTGATTTGTAAAGTTTTTTAGGTTTTAAATGTTTTTCTCCTTTTTCTTTTCTTTTTTTGTTTTCTTTTTTCTCTCCTTTCAATTCATAACAGTTAGAAATGAGTTGATTAAAACATACTGATAAGTTCGTATATATATATATATATATATACTACTTCAGAATTTTTTCAATAGTATATGTATTACAGCGATCCAATGCATCAGCCGGGAATTTTTAATATTTCCTAAATGGACTGCTCGTTGATTTATGAACGGAGTAATTGAGATCATTTCGTGTGCCACATCGAATTAATGATAATTAACTACAACTAGAGAAATTAAAACGAAAATAGAAAGCACGAAACAACATATGAATTGATCTATTCGATTGTGTTCATCCAGACTAATGTATTCATGAAGTTATTTATATTATTTAAAAGAAATTATTATTATTACTAAATAATATTAATTAGAAGGGTCAATGAAAAATAGTAGAACTTTTAATAAAGAATTAAGTTGATATGGTTAATATATATTATATTATCAGAATGGGTTTCGTGGAGATTTTAGAAATTTCACAGATTGAAATCATGAGTCAGCTGAAGCTAGACCACCATTGAAAACCTGGAAGCACTAGACGGCCGTTTCGTCCTAGTATCGGACTCCTCAGCAGTGCGGATTCACGATCCCGCACCACGCGAGGCTCGAACCCAGGACCTACTGGCTTCGCGCGCGAGCACTTAGCCACTAGATCACTGAGCCGGCATCCAACGACTGTCCAGTGCTTCAAGTTTTTCCATGGTAATCTAGCTTCAACTGACAATTTATAGCAAAACGACTCACGAATTCAATAATTAAATTACTACAATCTCTACAAAATCCCTCTCTGAATATACTATATTCACAAGTTTCTATCATTCTAACACTTACAATATTACTGTATATTAATCATTATATCTGCTATGCATTCCATTCTGAAATAGATGATTTACTTAATGTGGTTGTGAGATTTTTTACATCTCAATACGAAATTCATCAATAAGTAGCTAACGATATTCGTTTTAACATATCATTCTTATTTATCATAGATTCAAAGGGTGATAAATTATAATGGATAGTTTACTGATGTTTATCGAAAGATGTTTCCGTAAAATTTTTCAATTTCCTCAATATTCACGAATTGAACAAGTAAGATTAGTTAGATATGTGTCGTAAGTATGCCGAGACCATTAGGTGACCTTCATTTCTCTTTTAGCTAAAAATGATAAATTCTTGGATTTGAATGGAAACGTCCGTCTATTAAAATATTAAATTATATAGCGCATAACATTTTATCATCTATTACGATATAATATTCTGACCAGTATTTAAGATGTTTAAAAAGAAGCTCACAGTCAACATATCTAGATATCTTAATAGGTGAATTGACGAGTCAACTAAAGCTAGACCATGAAGAAAAACCTGAAAGCACTAGACGTCCGTATCGCTCAAACATGATCCCTCCCGTGTGATTCGAACCCAGGATCTATCGATCTCGCTCACGAACGCTTAACCTCTAGACCACTGATCCGGCATCCAACAGTGTTAACGTCTAACTTCAACCAATCCACGAAATCTAGATATAATGTCAGTACATTAAGACAATAAGTAATAGATTACATCATGTAGTGAGATTCAGATTTTATTGTGTTAGACTTTGAGTGATTTTAGCAATCTATGGGTATAAACATTGATATAACAATGATCACTACTATGACAGAATATCATTATTAAAGTTGAATTGTATTACAAATTGTTATATCTAAAGATAGAATATCTTCGGTTCTTTCTGAGCTTTTCAGGACTTCTTCGCATTCATCCGTGAACTTTCCTCACACAAATGTATATTTAATTGACAACTATATAAATGGTTTCTTAAATTTGACTTGGAAAAATGTAATACAAACTTTTAAAAGAATTTCTATTAAGTAGTATTGAAAACTATGAGTTAAAATTCTGTTTTACATTATTTATATTTAAAAAAGAAAGATTAATGTAAATGAATAAACACATTGAAATGAGAGAATATATTTCAATACAATATCGGATCTCTGATATGATCTACAATCCAGATATTTCATTATATAAGTCCGAACATCTTATTCTCTGATTACAGATTATCATTAAATGATTAGATGGATATCAGAAAACCGAAACAAAGCTAATTTTTCTATTGAAATCATGAACCGATTGATGTTAGACCACCATTGAAATCCTGGAAGCACTAGACGGCCATTTCTTCCTATTGCGGTACTCCTCAGCAGTGCGCATCCACGATCCCGCTCGCGGGATTTGAACCCAGGGCCTTCAGTCTCGCGCGCGAACACTTAACTTACTAGCCGGCATCCAATGGTGTTAATGTCTAACCTCAACCAATCCACGAAGTTGCGCGACCATCTTCCATTGTACAAAGCTGATTGGTTGGTTATAAATAACATAAGATCATCCGATAAATATAAAATCAATACAAATTACCATAACTTGCATGAATTTGATAAGAGAAAATTAAAAAAATTAAAACTAGAGAAGTTGATATGTTAGTAGTATTAAATATAGTTGAATACTTAAAACAATAAAACCAAAGAATTAAAAAAAAGCTCTATCAAATAATGAAGAAACTTAAGATTCAAAGACGGAATATAATGTTTATATTGGTACTGTTTCAAACATCTTTGAACTATGTTGTCGAAAGTTTCTGATCATTAGAACTTCTAGTAGAAGATTTATGACACTTAAAATAGTTTCAACTAACATTCATTGACCTTATTCATCAATGCCAATGTTATTTCGGTTTAACTACTTCCAAACTTCCCTCTTCAATAACTAGAATTATATATCAGTGATTGAACATGTAAAACACTAGAATGGTTATATAACATAATTTTTACCATCATATAATACATATCTGTTCGACTAGAGTTTTATTTATGGAAGAGAAGTATGATTAACACTTATCTTCACTAACACCTTCGCCAATCACACTTCTGTTCTCCAATTGAATATGTATTTCATTTTCAGAAGCTAATGATACTATCTATCAGGTTAGACCGAAATAGATGAAATTGAAATGAAATCTGTGAACTAGTGATTAAACGTAGACTCCTTCATAAATAAATTCACCTTTATACAATACTAGTTTCTACTTATTAACCAGCTTCTAAGCATTGAAATAATCTTGTTATAATTCTATTGTTTGAGTCATAATTAGTCACTTTATTGTTAGTATTATTATTTATGGCACCACTACTAATACTCGATGAAACTATAACTTTTTTACATGTTAATCTATATTCACCTTTGGTACTTAGTGTAACATTATTGTTTTCACCTTTTGTTATTTTGAATCTGTGTATTATTTCGTCTATTTTTATGATTCCGACCTTGGAATTCTTTATAGACTGAGACCGCTTGAGACTGATAAGAACTTTAAAGCAATGAGTCCTTTTGATAAGTTTTGATAATGTAAGAAGAAGACAAAGATTGTGAGAACAATGTGATGATATATTAGAACAATACATTTCGAACAATCTGATCACACATATACTTGTTAAGAGCATCTATATATATAAATAAAAGGTCAACTAGACTGGAAATGGGGTAAGAGGAGATAAGGTTAATAATAGGAGTAATGATAATGTGAGCACAATTCGAAACCTAGTCACTCTGCGTAATTGGTCAATATGACCAGGGTAGGTTTAAGGTAAGAACAAACTGTTTTTGAACACACAAAGGGGGTTTGAATTTCCTATGGCTAAGGCTTCAATAAACCTTAGTATACGCCCATTTACACTTTTATACAACACCACAAGAGCCGAGTTTAGATCAGTCTTATGGCCTGTTTGAAATATATGTTTAGTAATAGAGGATGATGGATGTTTATCCTCTGCTCTTATTGGGTCACTTTCCATCTATTTATGAATTTCAAAGGATAGCCATTTTCCATTAATGTTTTATTTGACAACTTAACATCATCATCAATGGTATCATTTGTACAAATACGATGAAGCCTATTGAATAGGCACCTTATCAAACCACGTTTGTATTGCACAGGGAAATAACTATAATAACTAAGATATTGACCTGTCCACGTTGGTTTTGTAAAAGTGGATCGTTTGACTGAGCCATCTTCTCGTCTACTCAGAAGTATATCTAGGACGAGAAGCTGATCGTTCCTCTCCTCTTCACATGAGAGACTGATATGGTTTTGGAGAGTGTTAAATTTATTCAATAAGCAGTACATGTCCTCATTTCTTTTACAAACAACTAAGATATCGTCCAAACATTTCTTATAAAGTGACATGTTTTCGATTAGGTCATCAGCTAGATTTTCAACATGTGCCATGAACACATCTGCTAATAATGGTCCTAACGGACTACCCATAGCAACTCCATCAATTTGGCGAAAGTATTCACCTGCAAGAATGAACTGAATTTTGTCAGTACATAATAATAGTAAATCTTTAAGAATTTTTACAGGGACACGTGATCGGAGATTGTTTAAAGATATGTTATCACATAATATATCAATAGTTTTTTTTCAAAGGTACATTTGTAAACAGGGGATTTACATCAAATGAACACATTGTCTTTACCTTGATATTAATGTCACCTAAATGATCAACCAGTTCAAAAGAATCCTTCAAAGGATACTTACATAGATGTCTTCGGATAGGGTCCAACAATTTTGTTGACCATTTAGCCAGGTTATGTGTAGGTGCTCTGCACATTGATAAAATTGGACGTAAAGGAAGATTCCCTGCACATACTACTAAAAGGTTAGATGAACTTGTCAACCTTAAATGTAAAATTGTATCGAAACGCGTGAAACTGAACTTCCATAAATCTTGTTTGTCGAGTCACTTATTCCCAAATCAACTATATAAGAATTTCCGTTCAAGTAAATTACAACTAAATATTTCAAATCTCATTCGATTGTCAAAATCGCATATAGATAATTGCCAAGATAAACTGATCAATTTCATTGAATTACACATTCAAGCATTGCCTATATTGAATGAAATATCTATAGTCTGCCATATTAAATTCATCAACTTTTGCAGTATGGTCATTTTGAAAACAAAGGAAAGGATCGGTAAAAAGCTCGAAAAATCTTGTATTATTACTAATCATGTTAATTTATTTCCAGTTAATCCTGAAAAGTATGTCACTAATTTATCTTCCATTGTATTATCTGCTAACGAAAAGGAGGCACTTTCTCTTGGTTTTAATTTTTCGGTCCCTATAACACAAATGTCAGAATTGGAAATAAATGCCCAGTTTGAAAATCTATACGATCAACTGAGTACTCTAATCCCTACATCTTTAAATAATCAAAGCTTGTGGAATTACCATCTGATGATTGAGATGTATTCATTCAATCAATTCGCAACATTACATAACTATTTAATAATTCTATTGTCCATTTAAGAATACTCATCTTCTCCATCACCTCAATACTCATCTAATGTTTGTTTTCCTTATATCTTTACCGTACTTTGAAGTAAAACAAAAATAGTTCATTTCGTTCTATACAAGTTTACCAATGTAAATTGTGTGCGTAATTGAATTTCTCTTTTAACAGTTTTTTCTCTAGAACCGTTAATAACATGTTATTGGAATATCTTTATGGTGGTCCAAATAGAATTGAAGCTTCTTCTTCAGCAGTAGCAGTGAATGCATATTATAACACTTGTAAAATTCATTAAGACAACTATATTCAATTTCTGTAAACAAAATCCGTCGGTGAATAAAAACAGTTACACTTCTTTTGATTTCGTTTTTTTCTTCCCAAGAAAACGTTTGAAGACTGAATAATGTAATAGTGGATTAATTAGGCAAATAGAAATATTATGATGCTTATATGTTTAATGAAACTAGTCTTTGTAATTACTTTTTAGACATAGAAAAAAATACTTCAACTCCTTCTTTCTTTTATATACTCTACCGCTATTTCTAAATATCTAAGGAAGAAATATTTTACTGTCAGTAAAGGGTTGTGGAGTTTGTTGAATTTTATTGATGTAGTTACCTATCAAAGACAATCTAAGATGGTTGTGCAAAATCGTTGAATCATTGAAATTAAACATTAACACCATTAGGTGCCGACTCAGCAGTCTAAAGGTATAGCATTCGTGTGCAACGTCGTGAATCCACACTGCTGAAGAGCCCTATACTCAAAAGAAATGGTCATCCAAAGCTCTAAGATTTTTAGTGGTGGTCTAACTCAGTTCTGCTCTGGATTGCAATGAAAACTATTATATTTTCATATGTCTTGAAGACAAAGTTGAACTTGCTTGTTGAGATTTGTGAGACAGATCCTGACAGAAACTCATCAAATTCTATTATTATTATTATTATTGTTCAAAATACATAACCAGCCCATGTGTTATCAACAGAAAAATTGTGCAGCAAAGGTCATTATCAAGGAAACAAAAGGATCATGCTTCATCGAAAACCTAAAAGACAAGAAAACGATGGCGTCATATCCTACTGTGTTTAATAATTTAAATGTGTGTATGGTCACACATACATATGGAGGAGCAACGGTGATCTCAAAATTAGGGTTTGTGAACATGTACCTGAATGGTTACAGAAACAATCAAGTGACCCAATAAGAGTAGAGGACAAACATCCATCTTCCTGTATAGCCTAACACATGACTGAAACAGGTCAATAAGAGTGATCTTCACCCATCTTTTAAGGTGTTGTACAAAAATGTAAAAGGGTGTATACTATGGCCATAGCCATACAAAAATTCAAACCCCCTTTGTTTAATCAAAAACAAGTAGATTAAGCGTTCGCGCGCGAGACAGAAATCCCTGTATTCGAATCCCGCGAGCGTGATCGTGGATGAGCACTGTGGAGGAGGCCATCATGGAAAACCTGGAACCACTAGACGGCCGTTTCATCCTATTGTGGGACTCCTCAGCAGTGCGCATCCACAATCTCGCCCCCCGTGAGATTCGAACCCAGAACTTATTATTCACGCGCGCAATCACTTAACCACTAGACCACTGAGTCGGCGGATGCGTACTGCTGAAAAGTCCCACAATAGGACGTAATGGTCATCCAGTGCTTCCAGGTTTTTCATGATGACCTAGCTTCAATTGACTCATGATTTCAACCGTTAATATTTTAAATTCACTAATTTTCCAGTTTTATACTATATATTTAATAAATGTATGATCTATAACATTCCAGAACATTTCTTCCATCCATGAAATATTGTATAATGGATACTGTAGAAATTTACAGATACCATTAATATACTATCACTAAGTTCTATCATTTCTATTATGTTCTTCATTTCATACTGATTTCTTATTTCATTGTTTTAAATAAACAATAATTTTGTTTTTCCTTTCGTTCTTTATTATTTATCCATAAATTGAATTCATGTATTTATGATTTTGTTTAAATAATTCGAAAATAATAATTACTTAAATAATATTGTTGAAGGTCAAATGGGAAACAACATTCAATCATATGATTAATCAATAAAATATTACATAATCTTAATGAATAATATATTATAAAAGAGGAGAAAAAGAGAACAGGTTATAGATGATTGAAATAATTAGGAAAAAGAAATTTGATATATAAAGAATTAATAAGTAAATGAGAATCTAAGTGAAATGAAGTTGTCAATGTTTATTTCATTCTATAGATAAGTTAATATTTGATTTGACTATGTTTACAATTATAAAGTCTCAATCTAGAGTAAATTATATTTGGGAAGATATTTGGAAGATACACCTAGAGTTCTAGTGAGACGCCGTGATCAGTGGAGTTCAATTAGGTCTGTTGTGAGATATCAACTCACTGAAGACAATGGTGTGTGGTGGCGCAACTTCGTGGATTGGTTGAAGTTGGACAATAACACCGTTGGATGCCAGCCGACTCAATTGTCTAGATTAAACACTTGGGGCGAGACTGATAGGTCCTAGGTTCGAATCTATCGGGATGCGGGATCGTGGATGCGCACTGCTGAGGAGTCCCATACTAGGACGAAATGGCCGTCCAATGATTCCAGGTTGTCCATGATGGTCTAACTTCAATTGACTCATGATTTCAATCAGGTAAATTATATTTGTTTTTAATGAACTTTTGAATGTATAGGATAGTTGATTTATCCATATTAGTACTGTATAATTTTAGTATATTGAAGGATAGAGATTTGAAACATTATGTTTGGTAGTGACAATGTCGTGATTCAGTAATTGGATTAGAATTTTACGGTTGAATTAGCTATTTTTAATTACTTAGTAACTACTTTTTTAAATACGATGAATGAACATGCATTCTAACTCCACCTAGAGTCCCTCTAGGGTCTACTGCCGGTCCCAAGCCTGGATAAAGAACGAGGGTTGAGCATGGTGTTAGCGACCCCATCCCGAAAAAATAACTCGCTAAAAAAGACGCTAAAACGAACATGCATTCTTATCATCATCATCATCATCATCATCATCATCATCATCATCATCATCATCATCATCATCATCATCATCATCATCATCATCATCATCATCATCATCATCATCATCATCATCATCATCATCATCATCATCATCATCATCATCATCATCATCATCATCATCATCATCATCATCATCATCATCATCATCATCATCATCATCATCATCATCATCATCATCATCATCATCATCATCATCATCATCATCATCATCATCATCATCATCATCATCATCATCATCATCATCATGATCACAACCTATCATCATCATCACCATCATCATCATCATCATCATATCATCATCATCATCATCATCATCATCATCATCATCATCATCATCATCATCATCATCATCATCATCATCATCATCATCATCATCATCATCATCATCATCATCATCATCATCATCATCATCATCATCATCATCATCATCATCATCATCATCATCATCATCATCATCATCATCATCATCATCATCATCATCATCATCATCATCATCATCATCATCATCATCATCATCATCCTCATCATCATCATCATCATCATCATCATCATCATCATCATCATCATCATCATCATCATCATCATCATCATCATCATCATCATCACCATCATCGTCAGTGTAAACTTCATGTAGAAGTGAAGTATTCGGATTCCTCCACATATGACTCACAACTTATCCTATAGACTATAATATTGATATTGTAGATGTTATTTCTTTGATAAAGTCCATAAAATTAAGTGGTAAAATATAATTTCAGAAGGGGTTTTTGTGGATATTTTAGTAATTTCAATAGTTAACATAATGAGTTAATTGAAGCTATGACCACCAAAGAAAACCTGAAAGCATTGGACGGCTGCTTCGTCCTAGTATGGGACTACTCAGCAATTAAGTAATTCATTACATGACTATTCATTGAAATAAATAGTTCAATTGAGACTTTAAATGTCTTGATGAAAAAAAAGTAGTTAACAAAATAAACCCTTAATGCATATTATTACTTCGTATAAAATAATACTGTGATGTATGCTACTTATATTGACAGAGATGAGTAGTATGTAACATCAATCAGAAGTGAACTTGCCTAACAGTAGAATATTGAGAAGATTGAAAAGAATTGAACATGAAAGAGATACAGTGAATTATTGCAATAATAACAGAATTGAAGTCTATAAAAAGAAAACACAACTGAATGAAGATGTAATATTCATATTTTATTAAACCATTTTATATGATTTTGTGTTTAACAATAAACTGAACTTCAGCATTTGAGCTCTCTATTCTTTTCAATACTTTAAACTTATTCTTTAACTAATACACTATAACGGATTATTCATGATTAAATGATGCATGAAAATGTGAAAGGTTGTATTGGAATGTATGCATGATTGACTTTTAATATAAACTACCATTAAAAAATATTAAAAAAAGACAAAGAATACTATGAGTTGAACATATTCATGGTAATATTCAAAAAATTAAGTTCATTCATTCATTCCAATAAACAATGGATAACTCATATGCTTCATAATAATAATAATAATACATGTATAATATGGATATAGATTTCACTCCTAACTGAACATTAAGTAAACTAATCAATTAAATAATTGTAAATAAATCCGGGCAATAAAACAACCTAATTATATAATTGCAAACTATATCACAAGACAAGTGGTAACTTGGAATCCTGAATTGAAATAGCGAAGAGGAAGGCCGTAGAACATATTGCGTCAAAAATCGGAAGCAGACATGAAAAGAATGAATAGCAAGTGGAAAGAACTGGAAACAACTGCACAGAATAAGGTTGGATGGAGAGTGTTGTTGAACGGCCTATGCTTCTCCACAAGGAGCAACAGGCGTAAGTAAGTAATTATATAATCAAGATAATACCTAGTAATGAATATGTGTTTAAAATAATTATTCAATAATGCCATTATTAGCTAGAATTGAAATCAAATTAGTTTAGTTGTGTAAATTAAAGTATAGATTTTCTTAAACTGTAAACTGGGAAAATTGTCGTACTACAAAAAGTCATGAATTATTTGTTTCTTCATACTTTGTCATACTGTGGTGTGTGCTACTTATATTGACATAAGTAGTATATGATGTTAGTCGTAAACAGAAGGTCTGGCAGCAGAGAGACAAGAGGATCGAACAGTAAAGAATGGAAACAGGATGCAATTTGTATGAACATGCAAGAACAATGAAGTCTGAGTCATTTTGAGACAACTGATGGACATTTTGCAAATCAAGCATTTAATTTATGATTGTTAGATTTCATTAACAAATCCTGTAATTTTGTGTCAAATGTATTCGATTGTTCCCAGTGGTGTTCTGGTTCACTAAAGTACGATTCATAATATTGTTAAACTGAAATGTTGTTACATATATAAGAACCTTTGTCTAAATTTAAATGGATAATTTCACATGGTTTGGGCGCCAATTTGTGTAATACATTGAGCAGAAAGAATGTATTTGTAAAATCTTGGCAAATAAAATTGTAGTAAATCCAACATTTTAAGGAAGTATTTCCTTGAAAAAGCTTGAATCAGATCGCTGAGCGAAACGTTGGATTTACTACAAATTCATTCGCCAAGATTTTACAATTACATTCTTTCTGTTTAATAACTTTTGTTAAAATATTGTTAAGAATCCCTATCATTTGAATTATTCATGTTGGTGAGTTATTACTTCTAATGAAAAATTGAATCATATGTATTAATAGTGGTCCCGACCGTTACTGTTATCTTGATGAACCAGCCGACCTATACTGGTTGGGACAATCATTTCTCAAGGTTCTACCAAGCCAGACAGGTTGACTGAAGAGCAGTAAGACTAGAAGCAGCAAACCCAAGATCCGGGGACGAAGTCGTACTGCTGACTGTACAAACGTGTAACTGCAGTAAGGTGCTCCCTTCAGCAATCAGTCAGTCAGAACTTCGTACGTACGTACATCATTTCGAGTTGCCACAACACATTAGCACAGAGATACAAGTGTCAATTCAAATCTTTCCTTCAGATAACCAGCCTAACAGCGATGCTGCCTTCCCGCAAGGAAGGGTGGGGTTACAAAAGATCGGCACTACAAATTTACACCTAACCTTATCCCATGGATTTCTGTTTCACAACAATTACGAAGCTAACACAAAAACTACTCACAAAATGATCGTGGGTGACCGGTGCCATACAATTGTCCCTTTGGCACTGCGGTCACACTCTCAGGTCATTAAGACCACCTCTATCCTAGTTTCCTTTTCAGGCAACTCTAGAAGAACTCTTACACGGTGTGGGCAACTGGGAAGTGATAACCGTCCTTATACCTCTAAGAGCATTCATAATCAATCTCAATAGTGGAGGCTGGATCAATTAGTGAGGAACAGAATAATACTACTTTTATACATTCTTAAACAAAGACGTTTGAATAAAGAGCAATATTGAGTTTTGAAAATTAGTTTTCTCTCTGTGTAAGTGTTATGAAACCAAACATCATTTTAATTTATACTTATTGGTTGTTTAAATCTTTCCATTGATGCTTTGACCGCATACGAGTACGTGCATTCTTTAAGGATTGCCTCAATATTTCCACTAAGTCACAAACATTTTAAAACAAACTTGGATGGTAGCTGACATTTGGATCCAAGACATCTATCTGGAAATTTCCAAACAGGACTTAATACGTGTCCTGGATTTCCCTGCTAGCCACTACCTACCTCAGCTTAACAATCACTAGTTTGTTTTAAATTTGTATTTTATTTAATAAATAATTTGAATCGTATAGTTGACTACATTTTATTCATATTACTTGTATGTCTCTAAACTATCAGTATGAACCAAGATGGCATGTTTAAACTATTTGTCCAAGTATACCTTATTTTATTTCAGTCATATTGGTTATTCGATGTCATCCCATTGAAACACACTGTCAAATGAGTATTTAAACGATAAAATAAGAACAAACTCATCAGTTGTATTTAATCAATTCAGATAACCACGAGAATATAATCCAAGTCACAGATTGATTTTCATCTGGTCAAACAGTCAAAATCAAATAATAATCAAGGTTTCAGTGGTTCACATCTACAACCGAGACAGAGAAAACTGTGGAGCTGTAGATCTTATAGTATGCGCTTAACCATCATAACACTGAACTAATGATCTATACTTATAATTATTTGATTGATATGTATTAGGTTAGGGCCGAGAATGGAAAGCAGACATGGAAAAAAAATGAATAGCAACTGGAAAGAACTGGAAAGGATTACCCAAGACAGAGTTGTATGGAGAGTGCTGGTGGGCGGCCTATGCTCCTCCACGAGAGGCAACAGGCGTAAGTAAATAAAATATGTTAAACACAATGTAAGCATCATAAAATCAACCCTTTTAAATGATTCTCTTAGAACCATAGTCCATGAAATAATTCTGTTTCATTCACTTAAAATAGAATAAAAATATTAGAATAAGACATAATTGACAAATAAATCTATGGATAAAAATACTCATGGAATAATAAAAAAAATTCCTTAATGGATGATGGATTTTTAGCTAAAAATAGATTTTCACTTTTAAAAAAAAAACACAAATTGTGGATATAATGAAAATGGAAAGGATTAGATTCTTTCTTTGAGGGGAATTTAATTGATACAGTCATTTAACATTCATGAAGAACTAATCAAAGTAGTACTTTTCTAGTAATTATCGCGTTTTTGCGTTTTGAGCAGTTTTCGGAAGAATCTCTTAAAGTTCTACATGGATAATATAATATGGGGGAGGGGGATTGAAGAAGCTAAGGCGATTGTTGACACTCATGATCTGAAAATACCGAGCTGAATAGTAGGTAGATTTATAGACGCTAAGTGGTAAGGAGTCTTAAGTTGGAAAAAGATCACTATCTAATCCTCAACGAGTAAACATTAGTTCATAAGATGATTATCATTAAATGAATCAAATGAATGTTATTTCATTAAGAACGTTGGTCAAATTACAGATATGCTTGACATAAAAACATAATGAAAATCTAAATCCACTTGGTGTTGTTGTACTTTGCTTAAAAAGCTTGTGACAAAAGGCTACATCGAGGCAATCAACACAGGTGGAGTTGCACAATCAAAACAAAGAAGTAAACAATGATAAATTTAAGGTCAACAAGAACCAATCAACATCGAGGTGCACAGAACAAGCTGTGAAACACATATGGAGAAATTCGAACACTTCACTTCTATCTGAAGTTTGTGCTGATGATGTCGTTCAGAAGAACGATGAAAGCTCCACGACCAAACCATCCAGCTCAGAGAACAAAACTCCACCAAAATCATCCACCTGAGCTACAAATCTTCTCCACCATCTCAATCAACACAGGATATACATATGCCAACATGAGACTGCTCAGTTGCGGTCCTAAATAACAATAGGAAGATACAAGTAAAATAACAAAAAATTAATTTAACCTTCACCTCATTGCACAAGCAAGTGGCTATCAGGACTCAGTAGCTAAATGAAAAACGCGATAGTGTTTGAGGTGAATGGTACTGGGTTCGAGTCCCAGAGTGAACGTCAATGCTGAGATGTAGTTGCATCCGGCTGACGAGTCCCAAATAGGACGAAACGCGCATCCTGGACTCCACTGCTAGCTACTATCCATCTTTGCTTATAATGAAAATCTG